CCTAGATGAACTTTTCTCTGGTCGTCATCCTATCCTACTAAAAGTTGGCCTTAGAATTATTCCGTACTATCACGTAGCTAACTGGCAAAGAAATCCTAAACCAATCCATTAAACACCTTGACCAAGAAGGAAGCAAGATAACAATAGCAATCCAATCATCTCGCCACACCCTAACACTTCCTCATATCACCAACTTAATACAAAAGCCGCAATCGCTGAAGACACCTATTATAACGAACCTATAACCCAAAAGCAAAAATCTAATACTACTCTCTCAACAAGCAAATTCGCGAACTAACAAAAATCTGCAAATATGAAACCTGGTCCAAAAAACTGAAGTCCCTTAATCAGAATCATAATTCCATCTGGAAAGAAATCCGAAAACTGAAAAACTTTGCTTGTATCCACAAACCAAAACTAAACGTTATTCGACAACAAACATAAATATGCCAACAAGCGGAAACCACCCATATCACCGATCTCATTACCTCATCATCATGCATCACGCATTAAATCCATCTTAATCTCTTAAAAACTCCAGGTATTGACAAGAAAACAATAAAGAACCTACCACGTGGAAAAAAATTATCATCCCTATATCCAAACCAAAATATCATTATTATTAACTAAAAAATATCTTTCCATTACATTAACGATTATTTCCAAGGTTGTAGACAAGGGTGATAACACTTTATCGTGCAATTTGAATACACTATTACGAAGAATGTCGTTTTGGTACTTTCGCCGTCGTGGACGGTGTCATTCGGCGACACTAAAGTTTAATTTTCGTCGCCGTTGTCGTTGCGGCCGATCTTCATCCAGCGTACCCAGACCCCGAAAGGGACGATGTCCGAGCCGACGCCTTTGAATTGCCGCGGAGGTGTCAAGATAGGGCCAATTTAGGACGCAATTGGATCGGAGTAACGTAACCTTTAAAGGATTGGCGAGTACGGACTGGACGGACATTATCCGGGGAAATGGCCGGACACGCCGGTCATCAGCAGGAGCGGTTACCGTCGCTACGAATGGGTAAGATTGCCATCCCTCGAGGAAATGATCCCCATCATCCGGTGATTAGGTGCCTTAATGTCGCTACATGCTAATTAAAACGCCTCTCACTTTTCCCGTATTTGGGATCTATTTCAAATCCTGAAATGAACCTCCCGTTAAAATTAAATTAAAAATTTTTTTATATTTCTATTCCCTTTTTGAATCAAAGGAGTAACTTTTTTTAACAGTTGTTCAAAGTGATAGCTCTGTTGATCTTCCTCAGCTAACTCCTCCGCATGTCGGTTACATACATCGATTTATTTTTTTCAACTTCTTTAATTTTCCTCTACTTGATGCTATTTCATTTTTAGTTGTCGTGCCATTTCAGTCGTTCAACTATGTCGAATCGGTCTAGATGCACGATCCAAATCGACTTATGAAACATAAAAAAAAATTGTTTAGTATCTAAAGAGATATTCTAATGATACAGGAATTAATATTATTTATTTATTTTATTTATTAAGTAGTATTTTATTAAAGTTCTATATGAAATCAAAAAATAATATTTCTTTAATACTATAAACGACACCAACACAATCTGTTAATATCGTTAGTACTTCTATAAGGAAGTGTTACAAGGGGGAAAGGTTCGAAAAAAGCGAGGCGCCCTCTCAAGTTAACACACTTTGTAGTAGATTTGCTCGCTCGCATCGCCTTGGTCGTCTTGCTTTTTTTCGGGCCCTCCGCTACGGCGGCTTTCATCAAGTGCAGGGTGAAATCCGTTAGCTTACAGAGGACAGGGGAATTCAACACAAGGATGGTGGCAGCGGCGGTAAGCGGCCGACTCGCTTGCAACAGGTGGCTCATAAAGTAGATATTCGCATATCAGCGCAGCGATTGATATACCCTGGCGAAGCGTCGCGATGCTTGGTCCCGTACATCCGACGAAAACAACCGACGTTTTCCCGGTCATTTGTACACATCAAATGGATTTTGGACTATCATGACAAAACCCTACCCGGAAAAACCGGCGGTGATCGTCCTCTACCGACTAAAAAACATCAGTGTAGGCGAGATAAAAATCGTTCTTCTTGAAGAGGATGTACCATTTTGTTGAATGTTTTTAGTTCTCGATGGAGACAGTAGCGGTAATAAAAAATTTATATACATATGCTTCTGTATTATATTTCATATTGAAGAGTTTATTTTATTGACTACATTTTTTTTTGTTTATATTTTACCATTTTATTTTACATTTCCAATCGAGATTTCAAAATCAAATCAGAGGAGACAATCGAGATGAAAATAATTGCTATTTATTGTGTAATTCTAAATGCACCCGACCGGAAACTAATATCAATTAGCAGTGAAGGTTACGGGCAAAATCACAAAACGTGAATAGAGTGGTTTCCGTTTTGGGAATACGAGGGGATCTCGATGGGACAGATGCATATCGGCCACGTCCGACGCCTATGGACTTTATATCCAATATTACATGAAACTTTACAGCTTCGGGACACCCACGGATATTTTAATAGAGATTGGCAGAATTCAGGTTGATAGTGCGTTTGATCACAAAGAGAATACACAACCAGTATTTTTCAATTCATATAGAAGATTTTTTGTTTGAAGTAGATGAATCATAAGATATCAACCTATCTGTATGCTACATTTGCCTTTTTATCGCCGAACTTCGTGAGGGTAAAAGAGATCGTAGCCATTAAAACGATCGTCGTCTAGGTAGCTTCGATGGCGTCGACATCGTCAGCATCGTAGCTCTTGATTCATGGGCACCTTGTGACACGACTCCATCAGAGTGCTCCCATTTCCATGCAAATCCAAAAGGATGGCGATGTGCTGTTTATCCTATCTTACAATGCAACTGCAACTGACACTAAATTAACCCTATCTGCGGCGGGCCATTGAATACGACGAGGAGGAGACTGGAGTTGGGGCACAGTGCCGCCTTTTTTAACGGTAATTGGCGCTAAGGTTTTCCAGCGCCGCCGCCCGCACAATCTAATAGATCCAGCGTCGGTAACTTACGTCCATAATGTGATCCAGCCCCGCTAAATAGCCAGAATTGCGACGCTACCGTCGCAGGTTTCGGTATGAAAATTTAGTGTTATGTCGACGAGACGTGAGATGGCGTCGATAAGGAAATTGGATACCTTCACGCCAACGGAGTTAATGTCGCCCGCTTTCGTGCCACCAAAATGCACCTCAACACCTCAAGTGGTAATTTTAATAATACCCCTAGACAAAATTTAATTATAATGCTTTTATTATTATTTCCTAGACAATTTTTGATAAGTAAAGTAAAGATAGAGCGTAATTTATTACCGGTGTCTATTAGAAAAAGATGGTATAAATTTGAAATCTTGTTAACTAGAAAGCGGTGCAATCTAAAGTAGTAGACAAACATTGAAATTTAGATAGTCTCTTTCCGCAGTTCGCCCGAGATTTAAATCAGCGTTAGTAAAGTATGTCGTAGAGAGAGGACTAAATGGCTCTTCTTTATTTTACGCCGACAAATAACGAGGACGTACCGGATTAAAGATTCTTTCTCCCGGGACGAGTTATAGGCACTTCCTTCCTGTAGTTGGAATTAATCGGCCATTCCAAGCTCCATCTATTAACATGCCAGCAAACGTTCCCGCACTCCTTCCGCGTACGCTTTTCCGCACTTACTTATTGTATCTCCTGGCCAATAAAGACGTACAAAAACTCACCGTATCACGTCACAACCGTGGACTGTATTTTCCCAGAACAAACCTGGGCTTTTTGCAAGACCCGCTTCTTTTGCACTTCCATAGGATTCTTTATTCAAAACAAACTGTTTCAAGGGCAATTTACGTCGAATTTATTACTATCTAATCCCGTTTCGAACAAAGACGACGCCCGCTTTTCCATAATTAAGTGGGTTAATGCGCGTTTCTTCTATTTCCGCTTCCCTAACGAATTCTATTGTCTTTAAGTGGATGGCATGGGACGTGATGACTTGACTTTTAATGTTCGTTTTGTAAAAGTCTTTAAAAAAGTAAACAACGTTGTAAATTTTTAAAAGAACAAAGAAGTACTGCTTTTTAATCATGGCGAACTGAAATTAGATTTTTTTAAATTATTTTAATTATAATTTTAAATAACTTAATGTGTTTGTATAAAAATAAATACTTTTCTACTTATTGTTAGTTATATTTGCTAATGGTGAGTAGTTTGGGGGAAAAATTCCACTCAAACGAAACAAATTGGTGGTATAGTGGGGAGAGTTTTGGGAACGTGAGGGGGTTGGAATCGTCGTTCCATAGATAGGAAATTTCTCTGGAAGACCGAGAGAGGCGCCCGGCCCGTCCAATTAAAGCGGCTTATCTGCATAAAGCGTGGAAGTTGCGCATCGGGCGGGCGAATGGCGTCATAAATATCCTCGGCTGACATGGAGCTCCACTACAAGTAGGCCATTCGTATGCAAGGAGAGAGTCTTCCATCTGAACACGCCAGGATCTGTCAGTCACAATGGCTCCTCACCGCTGCAGGATTCGTCTCCAGGGATCCCGGTAGCAAGCACCGAGCGCGCAGATACCGCGTTGATACCCGCCGCTTCCTCGGGCCCACCCGTATTTTTCCAAATGGGGACGTTTATGACCGCCTCCATTGTTAAGATGTATTAAACCCGAGGATTATCCTCCTTTCCCAACCGATCTTACAGGAGACACGGCATGATGCAAAGGAGGTAAACCCCTTTCTGCGTCCTGAATGGGTTGACTTAATTAAATTGGGAGGACACTCTCTAAAATGTCTTTATACATTACTATTTAAGAAAATAATTGTATTTTACACCTACTTTTATAAATTAAGCTTGGAAAGGCATTATATAATCAATGATGTGGGAATTATTTATTAAAAATTACCCAGTTTTAATCAATTAATATTAAGAATTTTTATTAAAGTCACTTTTATCACACAACATAAAAGTATAAAAAATAGATTTATTAAAAGAACTGTAAATTTTATTACAGCGTAAAATTTATTTAAGCTGTAAGATTATGGATCCTAAAAAAATATTGATGTTAATAAAAACCAATTTCAATTATAGTAAAACCTCAATATAACGGATTAACAAGGAGAAAGGAGTGTGTTATATAAAAAAATTTTAATTTGCACTTTAAACTGTTTGAGTGAATCATTTTAATGCACACAAATTCGAACAGCTATCCACAACGTTGCGTGCTGTATTAGTTTTACTTTTAGTTCAATAAAAATGTGGTACATGAATGTTTCTACATGAGTGTTTTTACATGAATGAATGTTTCTAGTTCTAGGTCTAGTATTAGTTTTAGTGCTAGAACTAACAAGCTTGAGTTATATACGAAGTCCGTTCTAACGAGGTCCATTATATCGAGGTTTTATTGTACTTTAAAAATATACCTTTTCATATGTGTTTTTAAGCTAGCTTCTTCACTAAAACTATTAGCACAGTGCAAACAAGAAAACGGTCTATATCCCATATGAATTTTCATGTGTTTTTCCAACTCATCTTCAGCGTCGAATTGTTTCCTACATTTTGAACATACAAAATTTTTGTGATTCTTTTGATGTTTCTTTAAAATAGACTTTGTGGTATACATTTTCCCACAAATATCACAACCAAAAGTTTTTTCCTTTGATGGTGTAACAACCGGTTCAATATTACTTTCTAATGAATCAATGATCGTAGATTGAATTGTATTCTTGTCCTGAATCTCTTCAATATCAAACACCAATTGTTGCCCAAACTGTTGTAATTGCTGTAGAATATCAATATGTAAAGAATCACTCATGTTTAAAGTTTCTGATGGATCCATAGTTGTTGTAGGAGTAATCACTTTCTGTTTTGAGAAAATAATAGAATTAAATTGTATTAGTCGCTTTGATTAATATAAACTTACTGTATTTTCATTAATATTAATAATATTTGCTTCATTTAATGGAATATCCACAACATTCTCTTCTCGTTCATCAGTCAACATAGATTCAAAATAATTATTCGTGTAATTTAAAACATTTTTAATATCAGTCTTAATTGTACCTTTCTTCTTAGGTTTGATTTGATTATGTTTATCTATGTGAACCCTTCTATGTGCTGCCGTTCTAAACCGAGATGGGCATAAATGACATTGATACGGTTTTACACCTACAAAATCACTCAGTATTAACTTAAAAAATTGTATTAAAAACAAACCTGAGTGAATCATCATATGGACTTTTAAACTGGCTTTACAACTATACGAATAATTACATATATGACATGTTATTTTACTATCCGCTGGATCGTGCGTCCTCATATGACTTAAAAGAGTGGATTTTAACGAAAAAGACTTAGGACATTTTTCGCATTTAAATGGTCGTTCACCTGTGTGCGTCCTAATATGCCTTTTCTAAAAAAAAAAAACGATTATAACAATTATATTTTTTAACCTAGGAAACGAAATTTCAAACAAGTCAATTCTTTCAAATCAAAATTCATGTAAAATTGTTATTCGAAATATTTTTTTTGGTTCTTAACAGAATGTATTAAATTATAGTGTTAAATTTAGACTTTGGCCAAATTTAACAAACACCATGCCGAACAGACCAAATTTATTGGGGCAATTAAAAAAAGTGCTATGCGAAATTGACGATTGTGGTTGTTGTATATCACCATGTTGTCCGCCACCATGTCCCCCACCGAATTTATTGGGGCAAATAAAAAACTTGTTGAATGACATTGACGACTGCGGCTTTTGTCCACCACCGTGTTGTCCACCACCATGTTGTCCACCACCACGTCCACATAAAAAGCATGAAGAAGAAAGGCCCTACGCTCAAGTATGTTTCACATGTCCCCCCTTCGGCCCACTTCCAACCATTCCAAACCCAGTGAAACCACTCCAAATGCCAACGGTCATTCCTGGGTGCCCAAAAACTCCTGAAGAAGTCAGAGCTGAGGAAGATCGGGATTTCGAAACACGAATCATTAACTTTTATAACAATTACAACTTCAGCTACAGACTACAAGGCTTATGTCCCCCGAAAAGGAAAGTTCATGAGAGGTGTTGCGACGGACCACGAGCTCATGGAGTTACCGTGGACGGAAAGAGTCCGTGTTGCACTTGCATACCGCCTAATTGCGAAGATGAACCGACGCCCAAACGCGAATGTCCAACCGGTTTTAAACCGTGCTTTATGAAATTGCAACCTCCGGAATGTTGTAATCCAATTGGAGTTTGGAGGGCCGAGTTAGAACCGTGCCCGCCTGGTTATAGAAGGAAACCCCCAAAACCTAGATATAGAGATGGATGTTGTTGTGACTAATGAATGTTTTATCGTTTGTATGTATTATGTGATTTAACTTTTGCGAAAAATGTAGGTTTTTTTGATATGTATTTTTTAACTGTATATTTTATATTAATCATTATTAACCTGAAATTCTTGCTTCTTTCATATCTTATAAAAAGGTACGCAGCATATGAATAAAAAGAAATAATGTGCAATGGAACTTAGCTAGGATAATACAATAAAGATGTATTATCCTAGCATGATCGCGATTTTCTAATAGGATTAACCGTTACATACCCTAGGTATAAATATATTGACATATTTTTATTAATTTTTCTGTACTTGATTGATATATTTAGAATATACTATATTCTAAACAATTCTCAACAATATTAATTGGATAATTTTTATTTTCGATAAATTGAAGGTAATTGACCTACGTTGCGGTTTAATTGTACATGTAATGTAAATAATGTAATTGTAAGGTTAATTAAAAGTTTTATAACAAAATTGCAAAATAACAGCAATTTGTAAACAGAGAGATGATGTGATTGCTGTCGTATTTGTTTATATACAAAATTTACTCTGCCTTTTATGACAGTGCAGGATCATGTTTTCAACATTCATAATTATTTTTAGGCTTTGGAAACTCCATCGTTTATACATATCCAGAAAGAGACGCAAACAAAGGTTCAAAGGAAATTTGTACTGCTATAACCGACAATATTAAGGCAGTGATAAATTATAATTCTCCATGTGTTCAATGATGCTTGTGCTAGGCAAAATAATTCGTTTTTTTCTTATTTTAAGTACCAACTATACTTTCTTCCAAGTTTGACAAAAAAAAGTCCTAAGCGTATAACAGTTTGGAAGATAGGAAATTTCCAGAATCATGGACGTAAAGTCGTTATCGACTTCGATTCAGTGACCTTAGTGGACAAAGGACTTCTCCAATTTTGTTAACACACGTTTAGTTTGATGGAAATCCTTCTAATACATACCAAATCTGAAAGCTTTCGAAATTCCTTTAAGCAATAAGCACAAACATTGGACTTTTTATTGCCTTTCTCAGTAATAGTTATTTCATTCCTTTCCATATGTGACACATCATTATTTATTGGGTTGGCTATTTCTTCTTCAATCTCACCATCTTCTGGTGCATGTTGTACCTAAATTGTTATTACATAACAAAATTTATTACAAATAATGATTATATCTTATTTTTACCTGTTCTTCTAATCTAGGAACATCGTCTTGTGTCTCCATCATGTCCTGCTGATTTTCATTAATAACCATGCTGCATTGATTGATTTCCTCTTGTTCTGTGTTTATAACGTTCATACAAGTGTGATTAGCTAAATCTTCAATTCCTTCACAACACACAGCGCAAGTGATCGTTTCTTCATTTTCGTTTTCAGTAATAAGAATATTGTTTGTTGCAACTAAATTTAAATCTTCAACTGCTGGAGTTCCATCACTGATTACATTATTCAAACCGATCATATTTGATAAGTAGCTCAAGTTGTTTCCTTTTAAATCATCCATACTGATTGTGATGTACATGTTTTCTTTTAATCCGTTCGGATGTTCAACTGGTACAATTAATTTCGGGATTTCTTTTAAACCGTCTTTATTCGCTTCCATATCTAAGGGATCCGACAAATTTAACTTAATCCCCGGATTTTGGATATCAACAATATTAGATAATACGTTTTGTTGGATAACGTTTTCGGTAATAATCGGTCCGGTAATATCTAAATTAATATCTTCAGTACTTAAATTTAATTCACTTGGAATAACGGTTTCGTTTAGTAAAACTTGATTGAACGGTCCAAAATTTTCTTCATCTTCTTGTAAACCTACTTGTTGTGATATCGGATCAATAAATAATAAATTTACATCTTGCGTTTCTGCTAAGACTGGATTTGTTGTTTCAATTTGCGTTTGAGTGAGTGGATCAAAAATTCCTGTTGTATCTATTTCTTGGTTGTTACAAGAAATATAAATAGTGGAATAATTCTGATTGCATTCTGCAATTGGTGCGATTTGTACAACACCTTGCAAACCAGTTTCATCTGGATAAGCAATGGAATAAGTTACGTCATTATTAATGCCTTCAGTCATTTCTTCATTTATTACATTTCCAACTAATTCTTCATTTAATATTTCAACATTACCTACTTCTTCATTTCTAATATCGTCTTTTGTAATTGGAAAAGAATTTATGTTTATTAAATCTGACGTTAAAGGCATCAATAAATTCATCTCATTAACTTTATGTGTCCGTATATGTTTTCGACACTGTTGAACACTTTTAAATTCTTTCTTACAAACTGGACACATGTAATTTCCAGCATCAACATGTTGCATTTGATGACTTTGTAAATAAGATAATTTTGAAAACTTTTTGAAACATATTCCACATTCAAACTTTCGAGTGGAATGGCTTGATTTATGATGATTTAAATTAGATATGGTTGAAAAACTCTCATCGCATATATCACAACTAAAATTTTTTTCCTGACTATGACTCAACATGTGACTTCTTAAATGGTCTGATTTCATAAAAGCACCTGAACATAAATGACATTTAAACGGTCGTTTTTTGGTATTATCATCTTGTATGTATGGCGCTAAAGCTTTAGGAGGCGCGAGTTCAATCAAATTCGTGCCGGTTTTTAAAAATGGTTGTTTTAATTCAATGGGATTTGGCAAAGATTTTTCGATTGCTTCATTATCTTCAGAAATTATACATTTATGCACTTCCATGTGTTGTTCAATACTTTCTAATGAATTACATAGTTTATCACATGATGAACATTTGTATTTTAATGTTAAAGCTTCTTCACTATTCACTGTTTCGTGGGTTCTAATGATTAGAAAAGAAAATAATAAGATATCAATTTAAATTGAAAGTTTTTTTAATACCTTAAATGTTTGTTGAGTCGTTTTGTTGACGAAAAAAGTTGTAAACATACTAAACATTGATGTTCCTTTTTACCTAAGTGAGTGTTCATGTGTGAACGTAAAACTGATTTTAATGAAAATCCAGTTTGGCAAATTCGACACTAAAATATTAATAAAAATAATAAATATGAAATGAGTTACAACTTAACATAGGTAACCTAAATAAAATATGTTGAAAAAACTCATTAACCCAGAACTTCCTAGTATTATTGCATAAAAAGATACTTACAACATATGGTTTTTCTCTTGTATGAACCCTAATATGCCTTATTAAATCAGAAGGTTTTTTTAATTCCTTTGGACAATACAAGCATAAATAACTTTTAACTCCTCTAATAATTCTTTGCTTAACTAAATAATCTTTAACACTACCATCGACACATGTTTCAGATAACTTCACAAAATTATCGTTTCCATCGCTCATTAATTCATCTATAGATTTAAGGGTGGTTTGCCCAGAAATCTGTTGAAGTTCGTTGAGTTGACGAACAACTTCTTGAACATCATCTAATGATTGTTGTTTTGCACCTGTATGGACTTTGGTGATGTGAGCATTTAACGTAGAAATTTTTTTAAAAACGCAAGTACATTCTTTACATTTGAATAGTTTTGTTTCTTCATCTGGAGCAGTGTGAGCTTTTTCAACATGTACCCGTAAATTACCTAGAATGTTTTAATAAAAATTAATGAATATATGAGCTGTTATTTTTGAAAGTGGCAAAAAAAATGAGTAATCTTAGTAAGATATAGATATCTTCTCTCAACATTTCGAACAATACAACATTTCGCATTGAGCAAATATATAGGAAAATTCTTAAGAATAATTTTGATTTAAGTTTTCATCGCCCACATAAAGATACGTGTCAAAAATGCGATTTCCTAAATATAAAATTTAAAGCAAACAAAGATCTTAATGAAAAAAGCAGCCTTTTAGAAGAACATAGTATAGATATAAGCATCAAGTGCATTAGAGCAGGTTTCCGTCCAATCGGAACAGATGGTGTGTCCCAGACAGTACGTCGCGCTTTTATCTTACCTACACAAAGAAATAAGGTTCCGATTGGACAGAACTCCCGTCACCTCGCAGAGCTTATTTGTGTTTCTCTTTAATTTGTAATTCCATTAAATCGCTCTTAAAAAATTAGGGAGCTCTAATTTTGAAAAACTGGTAACGGAATCCGACAATCGACATTATTTGACATATTTTGGTCAAATCCGCGAGGAAATCCACCCAGCCGTTTTCGACATAACGGCGTCTTACTAAACCGCGATTTTCTACGAAACTGTATGGAATATCGAAAAAATAAAATATGCCACTCATTAAGAACACATCAGGCTACCACCTGTTCAAAATTAAAATTTTTTCGTACGGTAGTTTTCGAGAAAAAAAATCGCAAAGTTGACAAAGTTGCTGGCACTCTCAAAAATCGGGTACTTTTTTCACTTAATTCGTGATAAAAGAAAAACCGCGGACCCGAAAATTTCCAAATTAAGATGTGATACGCAGAAATGTTCACTGATTACAATAAACTTTACCACAATTTTTTTCATCGAGCGGTTATGAAGATATCAATCTCTAAAGTGAGGGGCCTTGACTTTTTGCATGGATAGTAGAATATATTAATGTTTGCCAGTATTTTTAAATTAACGCTAATTCAAACCCTTAAATATCTTAATACATGAAAAAATGGACTTATACTACTTAAAAAAAAAACAGCTCATATAGAAGATAACACTAAATATAAAATCTTACTTTTTTGGAAGAACGAAGCTGGACATAATGTACACTTAAAAGCTTTACAACCGGTATGTTTTAATAAATGGACTTGTAACGAACCTTTCTGTGTGAATTTTCTATCACATTTTGTACACTAATAAGAAAAAATATTGATTTTAATCAATTTTTTTGTTAAATTTTTTGTATTTACCGCAAATGGTCTTTCACCACTATGAATTCTTAAATGTCTCTCTAATAAACATTGTTTTATAAAAGATTTTCCACATGTCGTACATTTATGTGGATTATCTTTGCAATCGAGTTTTTGCCGGTTTCTTTTTGGTCCAAAAACCAATTTTTTAATCTACAAAAACATCAAATATTTATTTAGTACTTAATATAAATTTAACAAAATATATTTACCTTTATATGATGAGATATATGTTCTTTAAACTTTGTACTATCTTCAAACACATAATTACAATAAGAACAAACATAGGGTAATTTTTCTTCATCGGATTCATCTACAATTGCAGAATGTTTCTCTAAATGCTCGTGATAATCAGATTCCTTCTCAAATTCAGCTAAACAATCTTTACAAGTAAATGTTTCATCTACTTGATGTAACAATAAGTGTGATTTAAAACCAGCCAATCTTTGAAACTTTTTATTGCACAATGGACATACTGGGGAGGAAGAGGAGTGCATAGCTTTATGTAATTTAAAATTATCTTCAACATTGTAACTTTCACAACAATGCTCACACTTATACTTTTTTACGTTATTATGAAAATCGACATGTTTTTTATAGAGAGCAACTTTCGTAAAAGTCTGTTTACATAATTTACATTGAAATTGTGGTTTAGTTGGTTTACAAATTCCATCTGGCGGTAGATCAATGCTGTTTTGATAATCTTTTTCTTGTATGTTTGATCTAAAATTAACAAAACAAATTGGTGATGAATATAAATCATTAAAACTTAATTTGTACTTACGATATTTCAATTTCATTGTTATTCACCGTATTATTATCCTTAAACAAAAAGATAGAGATTAAATCTTATTGAATATCGAAGAAATTTGATACATCCTGTATGATTCAGATTAAATATGTTTCTTACCTGCGATAATTGTACAAATGTTATTTTTTCTTCAGGTAATTTTTTCATAACATCTTTAGATATAGAAATTGTCTGGAGATTTGCAATGTTTCGTAACGATTCGTACGATAAAGAAACATAAACCACATTATTATTTTGGCTTTCATTTATAGACTTCATTAATAAGACCAAATAACTTAAATAAACGGTTTAAACCATGTAGTATTTTTTTAAAATAAACTTATCTATATAACTATTGTAACTATAATAAAATAAACAGACTATTTTCATCACTTTTTACACTAGAAATAAATTTTGTAATGTTGTTGTATTAAAGGTGCCTTCAAGAACGGAATTATAACATAACAAATTTGACAGATGAGCGTTCGTAAATTAGGTTAATTTATTGAACGTTCTAGAATTAGTTTTAATGTTAATTATAAACTAAAATGATTCATTCTATAATAATATCATAAATACTTATTAATTTATTAATATAATAAGTAAAAAAATAATTTTCAAAGTTTAGAACGTACGATAAATTGGTACGGTTGGTAGTAAAATGTCAATAAGACATCTAATACCTAACTTCACATTGCATCCAAATTTACTTTTTTAGTATAAAAAACCATGGCTAGTAAAGCAATAAGAGTTGGAGTAAAAGAAGTACGACCTTTGCTATCTATTGATAGTGAAGAAGCAAGAAAACGTGTTTTGAACTTGTACAAAGCTTGGTACCGACAAGTTCCATATATCGGTAATGATTATAACCTCACTTATGTAATAATTTGACGTCTGTCACACAATTCGAAAATTTCATTAAAACATATTTATCTTTATATTCTACACCTTACGTTTCTTGTAGTGCGAAGATACGATATTCCCAAAAGTCAACAACAATGCAGAGATAAATTAAGAGAAGAATTTTTGAAAAATAAAGATGTAACCGATATTCGAGTTATTGATATGCTGGTGGTTAAAGTAAGTCAATTAGAGATAAAATTTATTAAATATTTATGTATTAATGATTTGTAGGGTCAAATGGAATTAAAAGAAACCGTTGAAGTTTGGAAACAAAAAGGGCATATAATGCAATTTTTCCAAGAAACTATAGAACCTAAACCAAAAGATTTCTTATCCAAGTTCTTACAAAACGTTCAATAAATTTATAAATGTACGAACTTAAACTAGTATGTATATGTAAATAATATATTTAATAAAAGATGGTTCAACTATAAAAAGCTTTATTAACTAAAACTTATAATACTAAATACAATTTTTTTTTAATAAAACGGTTTATTTCTAGTAAATCTAGATATTAAATCAAAACCAAATTGTGGTTGATCTCCAGGAACCATATGTCCAGCATTTCTAACTAAAACCTCAGTGAGATTTCCAGCTACTTTTACATAACCACCAATATCATTTCCTACAACCCAAATGTGTCTCGAAGCAGTTTTGTATTCTTCAGCAGCAGAAAATTGCAGATTCTGAAGAAAGTTAACTGTTAATGGATAAGCCACAATAATATCCAATTGTCCATTATAAATCATGACGCGATAATTGCTTAGCAATTCTGATATCCATGGTGCCACTGATTGCATCACATCGTTCATTAAATTTAACTCCACTTCTTGTGCTACACCATTAAAAGTGTTATTTCCTACATGAATAGCATTTCTAACTTCTGACTTTTGTATATATATCCCCATTTGTTTAATAGTATCATCTGGATCATATGATATGAGATAATTATAATAATTATCAAAACCAGTTATATTTTTAAAAATGGATGTGTGATTATTAAGATCACCATTGAGGAGGTTATCAAATAAATGAAACGCTTCTATCCATTTCTTGTTTTTCATTAATTCCACTCCTTTAGCTTCATAATCTTGCACTAACTTCTTAGCGTTTATATCAATCAATCCTATTTGATAAAGATAATCACTGTATTTTAATTGGTTTATTGGATCACATAAACCGTTTCCTATGGCTAATCCTTTAAGATTTATTTTAAGTTTTGCAGATGGATTATTTTTATGGATTGTATAAGAAACAGCTGGAACATATTTTCCTGCATAAGATTCACCAGTTACAAAGAAATCATTTTTTTGTAATTCAGGAAATAATTGAAAAAATTGTAAAAGAGCTTGGTACAAATCATTTCCAACAGCTGTTTCATTTTGAGCATAACCACCATTCGTAAAACTATATCCTGTCCCTACTGGGTTATCAATATAAATTACTGAATGAGTTTGTACCCAAGAATATTTTCTTAATTTAACACCGTGAGTTTTTGGTCGAAATGGTCCATTTTCAGCAAATAATCCAATTAAAGAACTTGCGCCTGGTCCCCCTTGTAACCATAAAATAACTGGATCGACTTTATAGTTTGTAAAGGATGGGAAAAACCAGAAGAACATGTTTGAATTGTACTGTTTATTCACAGTTAAATAACCAGAATAAGCAAGAACGTTTTTAAATCCATTAAACTTTACTATGGCAAGTTTTTTGGCTTCATCTATTTTACCTTGTTCTATAAAAGGTGTTAAATACAATGCTGGTCCTGGATCCACAGTAACTGGGAGTGAAGGTATTTTACTGTAAATATTAGTGAATGAATTCACAGATGTAAATAATAAAATTGTTGTTAATAAAATAAACATCTTCATTTTCTTTTTCCGTTATTTAACACAAAGAACACAAACGTTAAGTTTCAATTTATTTTAGAGTACTAAGCGTTAAAATGCGAATCACTGCTTTAATTTTGATGACCTTTGAATATTTATATTAAAAATATCTATATTTAGTGAAATATGTTTTTAAAACAGTAAAAATTAGTCAGCACTTCTGCGCAACTGTACTTTTGCAATCGATTTTTTTATTTTGTCTATGTCATCATCTATAGAGATTTTATATAATCTCGTACAGAATTCTAGCAATGTAATAGCATATTAGGTTGCCGATTTTATTTAAATTCGATTCCTTTTAAAATCAATAAGCATAACTACTCTAAAGTTACATTATTAATTCAATTATATGTAAATTCGAACAATAGGTTGATATAGACTAACTCTATTGAATATCTCTACCCGTTCCCTTTGGGTTAAAACAATGCGCATTTATGAAATCTCAGCGCACTGAATGCAGTTACGCGCTCATTTGCGTTTTGATGATTCAAGGAAAGCCATTGATTTAATTAACGTAAGATTCTATGATTCCAAATTCAAATTAACACTTTGTATGTGTGTTTACTTGAGTAAAAAGATATTGAAATATTATTCTGTATGGGTCGGTTTGAATCCATTGAAAATTTCTCAAGTTCACAAGCGATGCATCTACTTAACAAGTTGTGAAGGAGATTTCAATACTTTGTCACTTGAAATCAATTTGTACGCAAACTATATGTGATGGTGGCTTTTCTTTGATCTTTCTATACAGAGTACTCCTTGTACACCATTGAGATTTGTATACAAATTTGAAAGAAATTCTATTGCGCCATCAAGAAAATATTAATATATTTAAATTGAAATTGTTATTAATAAAAACAATTGAGGTAACAACATAAAGTTTTTTATTGAACCGCGCACAAATGCAACAGAACAAAGCAAACCATTAATTTTCAATCTGTGTCTCCATGCAATACATCATTTATATTTGAATCACCTTTACAAAACTTTCTCGTTTGGTACTCAACAAAATAATCAAATATAAAGTAAGCAGCACACAAAAAATCATGATGGAAAAGCAGAAGTTTTTAGGTTAATCACAGTAGTAGAGGTAGTAGAGTAGATGGAACAGTGCTATGAAACATCAGTGAAATACGACAACCTACATTTAATTTTTTGTTGGCCTATACTTTGTTGGTACTCCGATATAATGATATGCAAAAATGTTTACACTCGGGCAAGTTAAATATTTTGTTGGGATATCGAAGGTCGAAGTATCTAAGTGCCAATACGAAGTTTTGAGGCAAACTCTTAACAGTGAAGAATATGATATCGTGTCTTATTATAATGTATTAAGAACGTTTTGCTACAGTATTTGTTAAACCACACTACTACATCCCTACTTTATTCACTAAATGGGGTATGTTATGGTACTTATAGACAAGGCAAGTATAATCAGTTGTAATAATACAAATGTTTCAAACACTAACATGTTTATATTGTCGTCATATCTACGAATTATGTTTAGAGAATATGAAAATTGCATTGAATTCAATAACCAATGATCTTCTTGAACTAAGTACTACAAAGCTCTAAAGTTTTAATTCAGGCATGATTCGCTCAATTTTTATAGAAAAATGAACACAAAGAATAGAAACGGGTGCATTTTGTGTGGACTTGAATACGGACTATAAGTGGTATTGTAGTAGAAAAAGTATTACACTTAAATTAAACCATTTCTTTATAAACTAGCTAAAAGTAACGGTGTACAATATTCGACAGCTCGGCATGGAAACGAATCTAAAGAAAACTGTCTAAATGTATTTTTGAAAGTTATTAAACATTAATCTTACTCTCAAAACCAGACAAAGAATGTATTAAAGAATTTAGGTAGGAAAAGTTTGAAGCTAGAATGGCTCTAGAAAAATCAATATAGGATAACAAAAATCTTGCATTCTTGAAACATTTCAGTTTTCTTTTTTTCCACTTTGCCATAAAATCATACATAACATGTCCCGTCTGTGAAGTATATCACATATTTGATGTGTAGCAAGAAAGCCTTCTGGTCTAGTTCAATTTCTAGATATTTCAAAGTGTCACTAAAATGTATCCACAGTGCATTATAATTTTTTCGAAGTGAAGTGTATTTCTGAAGAAGATTGCAACTTTGGTAAGTCTAATTAAATGAGTTACCCACAAATCGCATCGGAAACACACTTCTGGGTACTAATCCAGATTAAAGTAGATTCTTAGATTAGTTGACGTAGACGAAAATATACAAAGAGTTGAGATGTACATTCCTTACACAATACACACTCAATACCATTGCCATCGTCTTCAAAATTGTACTTGCAGGATTTCAATTTCCTCATATTTGCTTATGTGAAAATTTTCAATATTACGAGTAATTGAAAACAACTTTCGATATCCATTTTATTGTATAGCTATAACGAAATGCAAAAGGTTATTCCATCAATGTCAAGGTGCCATATTCGTTTTATGCAATACAGAAATGCGGAAGCACGATTTAAAAAGAAACAGTTGTTATTACTATTATTTCTTTTGTGAGCCTTTATTTGATTTCAATTTCCAGATTGAAGTTGAGAAAGTAATTAAAAGAAATATCGCAATAAATATAACAATACATATATATACGTAGATAAGGAAAGCTTATCAAATGAATCTTCTAATTAACAGCATATATGTGTAATGATGGGAAAAAGAAACTCGATAATTACTCGAAGTATATCTAACAAAATATTCGGGTGGAGTATTTTAACTTTTAATAAAACGTGTGTTACATAAACCAATTTTCAAGCATCGATAAATAATGTGAAATCCGGTTCTGATTATCGAATAGTTTCAAAAGAGACGAACGATTGGAGTGTTTCAATAGAACATTGCGGAACGTTGTACAACACGATATTTCAATTGTAGAACTTTACTCGATTAATATTATTTATCGTTCACTAAAACCAGAGTTGAAATACCTGCATTTCATTTTATCGTTCGTGTCACCTACACTCATCTCAAAATTTTTGGATCATCTATAGAATGAATTGTTTGTTTAATGAAAATCAAGTAAAAAGTTATAAATAAAAAGTTTTATAAAGATGCATTTATTTGTTATAGTTTTTAATGAGATATTGATTGCGTTGATTAAAAGTACAAAACAAATATTACAAATTTTATCCTATTTATATAAAAAAAGGGAGTAAAACATTTTCCACAAACTAATGAAATATGAATCATACATTAAAGTTATTACGATCTCTATTAACTTTGTTTATACTTTTTTATTTTTTCACATCATTACTATATATAGCGTTATATCATAACATAAACCGATTTTGCAAATTTGACCTTTCCAGAGAAAACTACAAGAGGATGTTTTAACCGAACAAATTTTTCTTCTTGGCTTGTTTAATCAAAAGAAAGAAAGCAAAAAGAAAACAGTGCATTTAACAAGCTCGTTTGAGCAATCGGAAAAACCGTCGTCATAACGAAAACTTTACATTTTGTCTTTTGAGTTTTACCGAAGGAAAAAGAAAAGGAAGAATTGAATTATCTAAAAAATTCACCTTCCTAAGTGCCTAAATTGGGCCGTGCGTGGCATCCATAACAATTTAACGTTTGCTGAAGGTATCTAGAGCATCTTCCACTTCCGGCTTTTTTCTTTTTTGTTTTTGTCAAGGTGGGCGTCAATTGAAATATATTTGCTCTTTGCATAAGAATGAATCTTATTCCATTATCCTGGAATGATGAACCTTATTTAAATTAATAAAAATAATTCAACTAGATTCTTTCGTCATCATAATTTCGATAATTTTCTTCCAAATTCCATACGTATAAAGTGTGTCTAATTCTATGTTAAATACAAATCGACAAAATAACTTTTTAACTTTAACAAGTAGCACGTAGCACAAGTTCCAAGAGAGTTTCCCAACTTTGTAAATTAAGGTCTTGAGAGATTTTGAAATAATATAAATCGATTATGTAATTTCTCCAAGAAGATTTCTCCAAGTTCAAGATTGTATTACATGATTTTACATAGGGTTAATAATGTTAGTGATAAGGTGTGGAATTAGTTCATTTATACATATATTTCATATGAAGTGAAACAAAACCTTCGATATACCGGAATACTTTCGTTCAATGTCGGAGAGATTTTTATTAGTGATGGTCTTGATTAGTGTGTTATGGTGGGTCGTATTCAAATAGCTATAGTATCTGGTGATTGAAGAGTATACCAACTTTTTGTTATTTGGGAAAGATAATACTTGCTAGAAGTTAAGAGATAGACGAATATTTTGGGAGGGTTTACTGTGTATTTCGGCCATTTTGTCTTCTAATTCGGAGAAGTTTTTTAGGTTTATTTCAGGTTGACTTGGTTTGCTGTCATTGTTGTGATGGTTCTGTTTTCTTTTCCTAATTATATTCATGGCATTGTCGCAGGTAATTTGTATAGTAATTATGGTTTGCCCTCCATTCTAACACGATTCCAAGAGAATCTTATTCTCAAGATGCTTTAACTAAGGCAGACTGGTTCCTTTAATTTGCCTTCTTTTAATTTCTTGTCCCTCAAGCGGAAATGGGAGTGTTCTAGTTTCTTTACTACTTACTGTTTCAGGAATAATAGGAATATGATCTGGAAAAATAATTAACCCTGGTAAATGTGGTTCTACTGAATTTATAGAACTGGAAGCTTGTGAATGTATGCTATTAGATTCGACTACTGATGGTAAGCTAAGAAGGTATAGAAGGTATAGAAGGTATAGAAGAAGGTATAGAATATTGGTAATTTCAGCTGATTTTGCTTCTAGAGTGTGTACATTACTAGTAGTTACACAGTTCACGTTCTTGATTTATATCAAAATATTTGTTATATGCTCAATATTTCATGTAGACGTGGTGTTGTTTTTTTCTGTTAGTCTAACCTTGCTTCCAAATATACAGTAAAGTGAACCATAATTAACATTGTTACTCAGAGCAGCTTTTTGCTAAGATTTACCACTTTTTACGTCACCATACGCATCCTTATAATGCTATAATGCTCGTTGTCTTTCTAACACGTGGTTAGAACTGTACTCAACCACAATTTTAAGGAAAAGGATATACTGCCACAAAGAAAAATATTTAAAACGGAAACTAATAATGTTAACTTTATTAACAATGTGCATTTTATGAATAAAACAA